ATTCAAAAATAACTCTTCTTACCCAATTTTCCAAGCTAAACACGAATCTGAACTCAATTCCTGTGATTTCTAAAGATATTATATCACTGTGAGAGTAGAGTCAGTGGTCACCGGATAGGGTTGCATACAGTATGGTCCATGCTAACTTAGCACGTCTGTATTTTCTCCTTGCAATTTAGTGATAAAAAACACAGTGAATATACTTTTTCACTTTTTGAAGTACACATAACACTCGGATTTAAATCCGAGGTTTTCACATTTATTTTAATTTAAAGTTGATAACAAATCATTTATTTTCCCCTTGCTCTATCTACTGAACTACGTGACATAGCATTTTTTTTTTCGTCAATAGAAAATTGAAATAGGGGAATGATACTAGAAAAGATCAAAAGAGGGATTTCGACTATGTTGTTAGACTACGTGCTAGAGTCAATAAAAAAAACCCAAACCGAGTCAGTTTAAATATAAAAGTTTCCTTTTATTCTCTTATTAAACTAAATCGTTCATGGAATGATTCTTCGTTTGATTATCAAAGGCAAATATTCTTCTATATTTGTAGCATGATAGTTTATCCAATGAGATGGATTTGAGATAACATGTTTCGATGCATGTCTATACAATATTACCCATTTTATGAGAGTACCTCTTCAGATGTGAAATCGCTTTTCGGCCGAGTTGATGTTCATTTAATGAGCAATAGAAAAGTCTAGAATGATTTGGTTTTACGAGCCTTTGTTCTCGAGATGTTGAAATTTTACTGAGTTTTTGTCTCACTCAGGTCATGTAGAAAATAGACGTTCAAATTTCTACTTCAAACTGTGCACAAACAAAGTTCTCAATAAAATTGGTTGATTGAGAAAACCGTAGTTTTTCTAACAAGTCTTATCTGGAGATATTCAATATTCGAAGTTCTCTCATGTATAAGCATAAAATAAACATATTGAGTTTTAAATACTAATGTACTTGAATGTAAATAAGATTTTCTGCTTATTATTCATAATAAAAAACAACAGCTATCTTCTGAGCGTTAAAAGTCATATATCAATCTTGGTCATCTCTATTAGAATTAATTAGAGAAAATATAACAGCAGTATAAAAAAAAAAGAATTCTTTAGCAAGATTCATCTATCGATATAAATATGTATTTATCTTAGGTAAAACTACAACATTTCGAATGTTAGTTGGAGAATTACGACCAACTGGTGGTTATATTTATAAAAATAAAAATGAATCAATTGGTTATTGTCCACAATATGATATTAGTTTTTCAGCTTTAACTGTTCTACAATCTATAGATTATATATGTCGTCTTCATGGTCTTAATCCATCATTAATAAATAATTTAATTTTATCTCAATTTCAATTAGAAAAATATCGTCATCATTTAGTATCACATTTAAGCGGTGGAACATGTCGTCGTCTTCATTTAGCATTATGTTTAATTGGATCACCAACACTTCTTTTACTTGATGAACCAACAGCAAAAATTGATCCATTATTACGTAGTCATATACGTGTGATATTACAACATCGTCCTATTGATACATCAATTATATTTGCTTCACATTCAATGCTTGAATGTGAACAATTATGTGATCGTTTAACAATACTTGTTCGTGGTAATGCAAAATGTTTAGGTTCGCCTGAACATCTTAAAAATAAATATGGTATGAATTATCGTATACGTTTAACATTACTTCAATCATCATTTCAAATACCATTACTTGAACGTATTGATCATAGCAATGAATATATATATCCAAAAGGTAGTTTACCATATTTATTTACATTACTAGAACAACTTGTTGAACAAAATATAATTGCATCGAATTATACCGTTGAATTAACATCATTAGAACATATATTTTTAACATTGCAACACTCTCAAGACATTAAAGTCTAATCGAATTTTACCTATGCACATAAATGTCAGATTAATTTTCTAGAATATTTTTAGTGATTGGAAGTGAATTTTTTCAATATTTGTTTTTATTTCATAAAGAAAGAAACAGTGCCGCCTTCCCGCCGCCCCCCCCCCCCCCTGTTTAGTATTTTAAAGCTAAATCAATATAATAAATTTCAGGGATAAAAATCGTACAAATACGAACTATTATGTTTTTGTTGTCATGTTTTTTTTCCTGTAATATTGGCATAAATAAATTAAAAGGTGTGTTATTATCTATTTACACATCAGTGCAACTTTCATAAGATCATTATCAACAGGAAGAAAACTTAGTATTGGTTTTCTTTTGTTTAAAATGTATTTTATTATTGAGTTCTTGCTTATATATACTATCAAATGTATCAATATATTTTCTTATTTGCAATGACAAAAGCTTTTACCATTACTTATTAATAAAAGAGATTCACATGTTGTTCATATTTGTTCCGTTTCTGGTTATTTAACTAAACCAGGCATGTGTTCTTATTCAGCATCGAAATCGTTTTCGATTTGTCGTCATCGTAAATGAACTGTAGGATCTTTACATGTAAATATAATTGAACCAGGTTTTATGAAAACATTTCTTATTACGAGACATTATAAATTATATTAAACATTTAATAAAATAGATTAGCAAATGATGCCTAAAGATCATTGACATAAAGAACATCTTATTAAATAAATGAATGAAATTTTATCTAATATTTCTATAAAGCATGATGAAAATTCATAGAAATTTGTTATTGTTAGGAATACAAGATCACATCACATATTTATTATCGATCTGAATAGCAAACAAGCATATTAATATTTACACTTCCGAGATGTTCGGCTTGGTTTACTGAAAACAAATACAAAATGTTGCTATTTCTGTTGTTGTACATCATCAATTGAAAGACTAAATTCAATTAGTGTCTTTTATTTGATTATCTATCGCTGATTGAATCTACAGAAAAGAAGACTTTTTTTTAAATATATGCAAAAAAAAGTAATATTTGTTTTATATTAAAATAATTTAATATCGATAAATCAATTATTTCTTTGAGCGACATCGCTTTTCATTCATATTTGATTTGTCAATTATGTGTATCCAATCAAGCAAACATAATCATTTTCTCTTGTTCAGCAGCTGTTTATATTCGATAAGGAACAAAAAAATAAAATATTGTTAATGAAAGAACATATTGATTTGGAATAAAACAAATAATGACTGATCTATTTTCAATTTCGGATCAAACATCATTAAAATCTCGACGAACTTATTCACAACGAAATGTATCTTCACTTCAATTGGAATTAACAAAAAATTGTAAAATGATTAATGTTAAAACATCAAAAACAACTATATTTAATCGAACACTTAGTTTTAAACCATTACCCATAACAAGGTTTAATCAATAATATAAAGAAAAATAATATAATATAAATTTTGCATTTTTATTACATTTTATTTAGCTCATCATTAACTAATGTAGAAAATACACCAATGAAAGAAATTTCGTATGAATTCGATAGATCTAATAAAACTTTCTTATCAAAAGAAATAATTGAAGAAACTCCAGTTAAAGAAGAAGACATTGAAAATGAAACCATGTCATCAGATAGAATGGCGCGTGACATTCAACGACTTGCTCATCGTCTTCGTTCTTCTATTCCATGTAAGATTTTATAACTTTACCAAAATGAATTACTTTTCGAAATATATTTTCAACTGAAAGAATTTTTTTTTTTCTATCATATAGATGTTTTTAAAGTTTCCTTATTTTTTACAATAACAAAAGCAGTTAGCACAATTCATCCGGAAATAAAATGTGAAACATGACATAGCTTCTCTTGTCAGTTGCAGGAAGATTGTTTTATTTTATCTATTTTGGGACACATTTCTTCATCATCTTTGTACTTAATCATCCAGAAACTCAGTAACGGTGTAGTTCATATAGTATAATGAGACGTTATTATTGCTAAGGCGTCTGTCTGGGCTTGTGGTGTATTGATAATATACGCTCTGAGTCACTTTAAGTACGTTTTATATAGAATATATACTAGTTGATAGAGCTTGCATTTCTGAGTTTACTGAGGAACTTCATCTAACAGTAGTTTTTTCGAATTTTTATGTATTTGAGCTTGTGGCTCAGAGTGTGATCCAGTAGATGTAAAATCTCAAGCTCCATCGACTGGTTTAAATGCCAAGTAAAACAGCGCTCCGAGGGTATTTTACTAATATTTCAGTCTAGGGAAAAGGAATGGATCGAAATTTTCATCTCTATTCTTCGACACTTTGTAGACTTTATTTTTACAAAATATCTACTGCTGATAAGTACATAGTATGTGCATGAAGATCAGAATTAACACAATTAGTACTTCATATGACTGAATAGGTTCCATTCATATAGATAAATTTTCCAAGTGATTTGTTTACCTTCGACAGTTTACTGTAGTATGCGTTTGTTAATTTTGTAAGACGTGTTAATACAATTAGATTAATGTAGCAGGTCAATGTCGGTTGATTCGATGCTTTAATGTCCGTACCAGAGTTTGACATGGATCAATTATTCGAGACCGGACCTGAACCGACATCAACGATAATTCTTGCTTTTTTTTCCAGAGATTAAGCATTCTTTTTTTTTGATAAATTCATATGAACTCTCCCAAAAATAGACAAGAACAAGGTTATTATATTATCTAGAGTGCGTATTTATCATATGTGAAGCTCGACATCTATTAACCTATTGTGAATTGGTACATAGAAATTCTATTTAATTTAGTTTGTTTTCTTTTCTTTTAAGTATATGATATTTCCATTTATGAAAATCAATCAACCAAACCGACTACTGTTCATCTATCTCAAATAGTCAATCGTGTAACTCGTTGTAATTATGTTTTAAGACATTTTGTAAACGAAGCACAAAAATATTTATCTAACTCCAATGAAACACAACTCACATCAAAATCGATTTTATCACTGCAATCTCATAAAAGTATATTTTTCAAATATAAATATCAATGACGAAATCTAATAAGAATTTTTTTTTAAGAAGGTCCATGTCATCTTTTTATTGATTCTCCTAAACAAGATAGAACTAGTTCTATCTCCAAAAATCAATCATCAATAACACCTCGAAAAGCCAGTGGTGTTATAAAACGATTATTTACTTCTCCTTCATCATCTTTTAAACGAATCTCATCATCATCGAGCATTAACTTTATAATTAATGATAAACGTCAGAAACTTTTCTAATCTTATTGTTTTTTTTTTCTCTCTCGCTCTTATTTGTTTTATCTTATGTTGTCAGATATATATGTATTGAATTATCTTCTTTTATAGATGACTTATGGGTATTCGTTTTCGAGCAATATATGGCTCGTTATTAGCCATTTTTTTCATTGGATGGATTTTATTAACAAGTCATCAAGTACATCAACTAAATCCTCAAATACATACAGTCAATCCAGCAGCAAAACATTTTGATTATATATTAGAACCTGGAGATGATATATGTTCAACAGATGAATCATTACTTTTAATTGTTTATGTTCATTCAGCTATAGAAAATCGTCATCGTCGAGAATCAATTCGTTCAACATGGGCGTCACGTGCAATATTTGGAAAACATATACGTGTTCTATTTATGCTTGGTTCAAGTCATAATATGGAATTAATGAAACAAGCACAATTTGAATTTGATACTTATCGTGATATTGTTCAACAAACATTTATTGATACTTATCGAAATTTAACATATAAAGGTATAATGGCACTTAATTGGATTTCACGTTATTGTAATAAAATACCATATGTATTAAAAACTGATGATGACATGTTAATAAATATGTTTTCTATACTAAATCATCTTTATACTTTAACATATGTTTATCCAACTGAAGCATGGCATTCTACGATAGCTTGTCTTGTATGGACACGAATGCGTGTTACACGAGATCCATCATCAAAATGGTTTGTTTCATCTGATGAATATCCATATGAACACTTTGAACCTTATTGTTCTGGTTCTGCATATTTTATAACTCAAGATATAATTCGACCACTTTTTGAAGCAACTAAATATGTATCTTTCTTTTGGATTGATGATTATTATATTACTGGTCTTCTACCACAGGCAATCCGATCATCTGTTTATGTTCATTATTTATATATTAATTCTCTATTTGTTGTTAATATTGATGTAGTCGAACAACGTTTTCTTTCACCTTTTGGTCTTTCTTCACTTGCTTTTGGTCATATGCCATTATCAGTCAATCGTCTTTTACATATTTGGCATCATCTTGTGACAAATAGTCATTCAGCACATAAATATCTCAATCGTACATATCTCTAGTCATTTATATTTTTCATTGTTTTATTTTTCTTTTGTCAATCATTGTCTTCCATGTTTTTATTCTTTCAAATAAAAATGGTTTGGTTTGAAATTCTTCTATCATTTCTTATTACTGCAGCTTTATATTCTATATAAGCAATTGGTATTTTCTGAACGGAAAAGTTGTTTTTTTTATTATTATTATCAATATATTTTTTAATCTTAAAAGCTTGTTTTTGAATTAGAAATATGGATCAAAGGGTATGACTAAAGATGATCGAGATTATTATATGTATGTACAAGGTCAGAGTATCACAGGAAATGAATATTATCCTCGTGTATGTCTTCTGCTTCGAAAGAGAAAATAGCAAATGATATAAAAGTTTTGTTCGTTTCAAAGCAATCGACGAGCGTCTCACATTATTCATCAAACTCAGAAATCTTTGCAACATATAGAAATACTAATAAACTTAGTTTGTTTGTTGACACTTTTTGTGAGCTAATATAAATAAATAGATTTTAGCTTTTTTCTTTAGACAGTTTCTATATAATCTTGCGAAGCTTGTTATTTACAAAATTTATCAGATGATGTTATCTATTTAGTTCTTTGAATATCATCTTCAAATTATTTTATCATTCGTTTCATTTCAACGCAAGAGATTTTTATTCAAAGTTTTTATAATCATATTGTGAGTTTTGTTATATTGTATTATAGAATAGTGAAGTAACAGTTTATTCGATTACAAAATAGAATATTTATCATAATTACTTTCATTTTTCTTTACTTTTGATTTGTTTAATTAAATTTTAATGGAAATATCTACATAGAAAAGTTACAGAAGAAAAACAATTATACAAACGGACTAATTATATCTGAAGTTGCGAGTCGGGATATGGGTGAGGATTATTACTCTCTTATACTCACGCTCACGCTCTAAAACAAAGGCTTTTCTGTGGAGCGAGAAAATCATTATTAAGCTCCTCCTAGATTATGATATTAGGAGAGAGTCAAGAAAACTTATGCGTTTGATTGACTAAATGATTTTGATGTATGGTTTATGATCCGTTTTCGACAATTTTTTAGAGTTGAAAATGAATTTTCTTTTCTCATTATGTTTATTTATAATGCAAAAAAAGAACATTAATGTTTATTTTATCATTATTTGTGTTTTCTTTCGTATCGCACGTACAATTAAAAAGCATTGATAACGAATTAGTCGATAAATCATCTCAATCACTTCCATTATTGAAAGAAAACTAATGCCGATCCATAAACCAGTTTGATCTCCGATATTTGAAAGGATATCTCCCACACCAAGTATTGCTGTTTGTGTATTATTTTCAATTATATTTGTCTCGCGCACGATATTTACAGCCAGATAATTTGCCTTTATATGCTCACGCCATGTAGTGGTCCAATTGTCAGGTAATGGAATCGTTGAGTTTTCAACAAACATCTTTATCTCATCCATTTGCCATTCGGCTGGAGCAGCAAGAGAAGATGTTTGAATAATAAAATTTGTTATTAAACATTGTTGTCAACAATCAGAACAATACTTATTCATATGTAATGAGGAAGCCAAAAGTGTATCGACTGTTTTAGTATAACAGGTATTGCTTTGAATTGCACAGAGATGCTAAAATAATTTTTTCTGTACCTGGTAAAATAACTGAGCGAATACCTCATAGATTAAGATTAACACAACCACACTGTTCATATCTATAACAATAGAATAAAATATGATGCTATGATTAAACACATTACATTATTCTCTCTTAATATATTTACGCATACACTTGTTCACAAATTTGATAACAAATTGTTTCAGAATAGCCATAATCACCACCATAATAATTATCAAATATTGCATGGATCAAAATAGGAATTTTATCAGTGCATGTCGTATATGGTGCAGGTGAAAAGTAAGCTGTTTTCTTTTTGTAGCCTAATTTATGTTTTCGTCCTGGTGCCAATTCTATACCAGCTGCTTCAATAGGCGGTAATTGTGTATTATCATGTACAAGACTTACAATACCAATGTCTTCACAATGGCAAAACATACATGTTACATTTGATGATATTTAAATGAACACTTACTATCTTTGACATAAGGCACATATTGATGACTATGTTAATAAGGACCTAATTTAAGGTTACCATCACCACCATTTTCGTTTTCATAACGTACACTATAATTATTGCTATTTTTCAATTTGGCATTGAATGTATAGCATAAACCATAGGTTGATGATACAAATGGAATGAAATCTGTAATTGAACATCGTACACTATTGAACAAACATGTGGAAAGCATTGAAGAAAGTGAATAGAACAAAATGGTTCTAACGATTCATTTTTATTAACTTTATCTATTATAAAATTTCCGATATAGATTGCTTGAAATGAAGACAATGTTGTTGTATTGTTCGAATTAGTTAAATTTAATGTTTTAGTATAGTTTAAAAAAGGGTTCCCTGAATTTGTCGAAACGAAGTGGAGAAGCATTGCAAAGACTAAATGCTGGCAAATATTGTGGGCATTCACTGACATAGCTTACATCGATTAATGTTGGATATTCGAAATAAGATAAAATTGCTTGCAATATAAAATAGATCATAATCAAAGTAAAGCCAATGATTGAAATTAACCAAAAGAGTCGATTACGTATGCTTTCACTTCAAACAATACCAGACAGAGCATGAGCGGATGTATTCAAACAAAATTCATGTATAATCGAACGACGACGATATTGTTTTGTTTCGTCTTGCATTACAGCTGAGTCGTCTAGAAATGCTACCAGGTTTTCTTATCTAAAACGATCTCATGTATTTTTCAAATTGTTAATGATTGATTTTTTTTGTCAATGATAACTACTTTTCATTACTAAAAGGCAACCATTGATGGCCTTAGAATCAAAAATTTTTGATATCATTAATAATAAATGAAATGCAGAAGTAGTGCGATTGGACTAATTTAAACTGTAGGTACAGATACATCTTTTTATTTTTCAAAAATAATCTAATATTGGAAAATTCGAGCTAGAAAGACATCTGAAAGTTTTATTATTTGTTTTTTTACGTTGTCTTCAGTTATTGTAACGAACTAATTTAAAAGTTACTTTTAAAAGGTAATATGCAATTTTGAAATAAAAAATTCTGTTAGGATTATTCAAAGACGTATGTACCAGAGGTGGGCAAGTCAAGTCAAAAATGACTTCAGTCAAAGTCAAGTCAAGTCATTTTTGACTTGAATGACTTGACTTGAAAATTTGTTAGATGACTTGCGACTTGATAAAAAATACAAGTCAAGTCAGTTATTCTTTGCAGCTTATATACATATTACCGTCGCATTATGTAAAGTTATTTTTGTTCTTGTATGAGAGTTCTCTTCTTTTCTTTTTCATAGCTGTCGTATAAAAAAGTGTCCATTTTCTCGTCATGTTATCTTGAATTGTACGTTTGAAATAAGGCCCCAAACAGACTAGACGAACTAAAAATGAACTAAATGTAATTGATTTTTCTATGTCGAAGCATCAATCACGTTTCTTAATTCCTTTTTTTAATCGTCTAATCTATTTGGTCACCAAAAAAAATATCTAACATCACCATCAGCAGTTATATAAGCAATTATACAACTGAATGTTAACCATCTTAAAATGTAATAAGGAACCGATGTAATTTTTTTCAATAATTTGATACATGATTAAATTATGAAAATTACAAAAGTTCAAGTCAATGACTTGAGACTTGACTTGACTTAGGTAGAGCGCAGATTTGACTTGACTTGACTTGAGATATTGTACTTCGAAACAATGACTTGACTTGACATCAACTCTTTTTCTTTTTACCAATGACGTGACTTGACTTGACTTGATTCTCTTTAAGAAATGACTTGACTTGACTTGTGTGAAAAAATAGCTGACTTGCCCATCTCTGATATGTACCAACTTTTGTTGGCAAACTTATGCAACTATTTTGAACCAAAGCAAATAGAGAGAATATATTAAAAAAAAGGATTCTGTATGTTTTGTATTAATATTATTTTATTTAATTCTAGTGATACTTTTCATCGAACATCGACAAAACAAAGACCTCTCTGACAATAATATTATAGTACAAGTGAACGAGTTTCTATTAATGAAAATGTTTCATATTATCATAGGATCGGATATAGGCTGTTTATCATATGAATCCTATATATAACTTGTAAGGCATATATAACGGTTCAACATACATTTCTCGATTCATTATCTAGTCATTTTCCAAGGGAACAATAGTTTATTAATGAAATTAATTCGTGTCAAAATGAAAATTTTTCACAAGAAATTGTAATGTTGCTAATGAACAAAAGTGTGTTAGATGAACAATATAAGCGACTTTTTTCCTTTAGGTATAATCGCTAGTGAATCATAAACAAATGATTAATTGCTTATATAAATAGAATGAAGAAAAATAAACAATACACTTACTTGGTTTATACTTCAAGTATTTAAAAAAAAGAGGTTTTAAGTAAACTTTATTTTAACAGAAAGAAAAGTAGAGAGAAACGCTTTGTTGATGTTGCTCATAAACTAGGTATTTTTGTTGTTGAATCGAGTAAATGGCTATTACTGTTTGAATGTTTGTTCAAAGACAATAAGAAAAATAACAAGTGGATGTAAATGAATTCTATTCCATGTATTATAATTCGTTACAAGAAGTGGCATTTAAACTTTATTTTGAAAGTTAAAGTAGAAATGTTGAGGTTGTCTTCAATAATCATTTTTGATATTTCTCTGAACTTTTTCTTTGAATTGTTAATGGATTGTACTAGGAAAAATTCAAGGGACTCAAATTGAAGAGGTGCACAATTAAAATGCGTTCATAATATGAAGTGGTACTTTAATATGATTGATTTACAATTAAAAGAGAGAGAAACTATTGGAGTGTGAGTATGTATGGGAATAATTTCCATCTATATCTACACTTTCTTAGTATTTTCCTAAGAATTCTCATTTACTCTTTTTTTACTAGTACTTGCTTCATTGTTTTTTTAGTTTCACATGGTAAACTCACCTTAGAATCCAACTTGTTCACAGACACAAACAAGTGTTTCATATCTTCAATTATTACATTATATTTTTATCTAAATCCTTGTTCAATAAAACTGATCATACACAACGATATCATTATTTCTTAATCTGAGTCATTATTTGAAGAAAACAATTTCTTATTCTTTGTTATGTAATCATTTGGAAGTATAACTTCATTTGATGAATAATATTTTGTTTATCTAAATAAATTTGAAAAACAAAAAAACTTCTATTAAGATTTTAACTTTTTCGACGTAAACAGAAAACATCAAGTGGGGAAAACATAGAACAAAAAGAGAAATTAAAATATCGAAAAGAAAAATGTCGGACAATTTTAAATATATCACGAACCATGCTATATTACTTTTTTGTGATTGAGTACTTTTGACTAGAAAACTTTATATTTTGCGTGAAAGATTTATCATGAACGAAACCAATGTACATGGCTGCTCCGAAAGGTAGAACGGACAGATATAACTTCTCCCATCTTTCAAATAATCTGAAACATCGACTGAAGACATCAGACAGAAATTTCTTCTAAGGAGCTTAAAAATAACTTGGAAGTTGTAATTTTTCAATAATCTGGACCGAAACTATTTCAAAAATGAAAAACCAGCATTATTGATACATTAAACAATTTCCATGCAATTTGAACTATACAAGAAGCCGTTAGTTATATAGTGATATACCGATCAGATAGCTAAATAGTTTACCACCAGCTAATCGGGAATATTTACCGGTTACAAGCAGTTTCTCACGATTATACGCTTGTTTTGTTCGTTTCTACTCCACCGATCTCGACTGCTGTACATTGATAAGCTTATAACCTTACTAACTTTCAATAATATTTTATTAATCTCTTATTTAATTTACATAGACGACGTTCAAGACAAGTCAAATAAACAGTTTCACAACAAGATAAAATAAAAACACTGATTTTCCACTGTGTTCACAAGGGTAAGTTAGAGAAAAAGAGTAGAGTATATCTGGTGTGGGGTGGGTGTGGGTGTGGGTGTGGATATGGGTGTAGAAAATACTAAACGCACATCCACACATGTGCTACTTCAAAGATGCAGAATCCAATGCTAAGACGAAAAATTCCTCGAAACAAATATTAATTATTAAAAATGTTCCTCTGCTATCAAAATAAAAAGAAAATGGCTTCATACTTTCTATCAAAAAATAAACTGCAGAAGCTTTATGCCAAGTTTATGCTTTTATTGGTACAAGAGAAGAGTGTGGGGTATGACTATGATTATTGTGGTGGGTATTAGTATTATCTTCAGCCACATTTCTACTTGCAAGATTTTACATTGAGATTGACTCTAATCGATCATGTATTCTTTGAATATTCTAGGACAGAATCGAAAGTGTCATTGCTTGAACACGCAAGTGACCTATGATAGTTAATGGGTGATCAGATTGAGTGATGATATCGGTCTTGATAGTTTCACTTAAGAGCCAATTTTTATTTTGTTTTCTTTTCCTTTACTGAACTTGTGATGCTCTGCGTCGAGTGTATTCTTTCGAGATCAGAGTTCATTTCAACTCATGATTCTGTGAAGAATTAGGATTCAATTCTTTTTTCACTCTTCTAGGAAGGCTTCTGATAATGACTTTTTATAGAAACAAGCATTTCTTCTAACCGAAAACGAACTCTTTTCGTTTCCTGCAAAGCATACGGGCATACAGTCAAGAAGTGACAAAAGCGATATTGACCACCAAATGTGTCATTATTTTCAAGTATTCTTTATCAGGCAGAAATTTCTTTTTGAGTGAATATTATCATCAACTGCTGGAAGCAAAGAAAGATGTTATAAGTTCGTGCAAACATGCACGAATCTCTGTGAAGGAGTAAACGTATTCTACCTTAAATATCACGTTTTTCTCTTCAATTTATGAGTATTTTGACAGAAAATAAGGTCTATTCATATTTGTTCATGCATAAAAGAAGCAAAGTATCGTAACCTGCAGCAAACAAAAAACAATCCTTCCATTAACTATTAAAAAGTTACATTAGAATAAAAATACAAAGACCACCATTTCTCAGTTAGAGGCTATTTGCATTTATGCAGTCAGGTAAATCGAGAGTCATATGCCAGAAGTCTTACACAAATAAAAGTAAAACAACCGTTGGCTATTGAATGGCTGATTCATCATCGAACATGACTGTGCTTTGTCATTTTGCTTTTTCCATATTAAACTGTTTTGCCTCAGTCAATCAATGATGGATGATCAAATGGAACAACTCATTATGAAATTAACCAATTCTTCGCTTTCCAACAAGACTCTGCTCGATATAGGCCACTTGCTGGAAATTCAAACGATAGAATCGCTATCGTTCTTTGTCTCTGAATTATTCGAGCATCTACTCATTCTCGAAGACTGGGCATGGAGAGAACTCGGAAAAGTAGCTTCACTTTGGACCGACGATAATCACCGTACAGCATTCTTTCATACTTTGGCTTCGTTTAATATGAAAGTTGTTCTCCATATGGGACAAATTCAAGCTGATATGAAAGCTTCCTTGCTGATTCCTCGAGACGAATATTTAATCAATAGCGTGTTTGATCGGATAGAGAGTATCGAAAATGATGAGAGTCCATTATGGATTATTGCTAGTAGCTGGTTGGATGCGCTAGCTCATCTCACTGACGAACATGCTGAACTGAAGATATTATCCTCTATTATCCAGATCAATGAAAATCTGGGAAAGAAATTTCTCATGACCGATCAATTCAAGTCATATCTCAAACAACTTCATGAATGCTCTTCTGCACAGTCAGTCTTCAGTGCCAAATACAAATTCTATATCCAAACATGTTCACTCTCATTGAGTGTCTATTTATGTCCGAGAGTTTCATCGTATCCGTATACAAGAGAAGAGATTCTTCAGTTTGTGGCCGATGAATACTATCAAACTGTATTGATACATAGTTATACAGTTGATTCATGGAGTAAACAATTTATAGTCTGTATGGCATGTCTAATTCGTTTGGTCGCGTCATGCAGTTGGTATGGCGGCAAAAAAGGAACAAATATTAAACTGGTGACTCCTTGTGAACAAACATCACATGATCATGTTCAAGCATTGATTCGGATTGTTGGCTATACGCCATTTCATACTCGTACTGATGTGAGTTGGTGCAATGACGAGACGATCCTTATCGATGCAACGTTGAGCTTGGTGATGAATATATTACAAACAGAAAGTGTCAGCTGTTTCGTTCGATCAACTACACCATTAACCCATATACTTCTTGCCTTAGCTGAAACATCATCCTATGATCGCATCGTTGTATTAGCTTATGGAATACTTGCACAAATTCTTTCGGATGACCATTTAAAAGAACTGAAAATTGCTGATAATATATGTCAGTTTTTCTTTCATGCTCTTGAGCAATGTTGGAACCATCCGTGGCAAATATACAAGCAGATACCGATTAATCATCTTCTGGAAGGTAAATAGACTTCGTATGCAGTTTTCTAGATTCTACCAGCAGCATTATTTTTCGACATTTTTTGAAAATTTTCAGACTCAACAAAGAAATACGTGACTAGTAGTATAGTACAATTTCACGATCAGCGCGTTGTCGAGGTATCTTTTACTCAGAGTTTATACTTTCTAAGGTCCTGACGGTTTTATTTTGAGACTTTCGTGTAAACTTAGTGAGAAAAGGAAATTTAATGATATGACATCTTCTGTGCAGTAGGATTTGTAATGAAAAGTCTTCTCGTTTATAAATATTACAACTCAAGCAGCAAATCTGGGTTCTTCGTCCGTCTTGTCAAGTTTAGTAATCAGAAAGTTATGAAAAGTTCTTGATGACCAGTTATCAGTACAAGATAAATATAGCATATACAAACTTCTTCGAGCAAGTAGAGTGAATATGCCACTGTCATCTCTCATCGAACTCTTGAAGAGATATATCAACATCGTTTGAAGAAAGTAGAGTGAGAAGGATGTCGAGTGATTTGTAGTTATTACTATTGATAAATGGTTAGAAACACCAAGAACTTTCAATTGAGTTTTGTTCAAGAGACGATACTTTTCTGAGGAAGCGTTTCAAAACTCAGCAACCCAACAAAGAAGTGAAATGTTACTGTGGTCCTTCTGTTGATTTCTACTGAATGAAGAGTTACAAAAATAGAGCGAGACCAAATTCCAATTTAGCTATATTCTTGAAGCATTTCCTTCTGACAGTAGTCAAAAATGGAGACCTGTGTCGATACTTTCATGTTTCCAAATCACGCAGCAAAAATGCGAATACAATTCTAGCGTCTGACTTTGGACTACTTGCATACAAAAGTATTCTGTTCTAGGCTACTTGAGTTTATCGAACAATGACTTTATTCAACAAATGACTGCCAAACTAAATCGAGTACCTTTTCTCATTGAAATATGTGATCGATATCTGATTGCCTTCGAAATCCTTTGGGCTCTCTCATTCAATCAAAGTATTCGCGAGCAACTTAGTTTGAATCGGGTATTCATTAACAGATTAAAACAACTGAAAGAAAGATGCACCGATGAAAAGATGCGCAAGATTTATGATGGCATTCTATGGAACATGGATCCCGTGCATGGAAAATGCACTCCATCTGATCAATCTGAATCAATTACATTTGATATTATGATTAGTTATTCACACGCCAATGAAGATATCTGTCGACGCTTGTATGATGAGCTGAAACAAAGAAGATTTCGGGTTTGGATAGATTTTGACCAAATGCATGGCAAAATTATGGATGCGATGGCTCATGCAATTGAACGATCGAACACGGTTCTTATCTGTATGAGTGAATCATATCGACGCAGTAATTATTGTAGAGCAGAAGCACATTATGCTTTTCAAAAGCAAGTTCGGATGATACCAGTTCTGTTACAAAAATGCTACAAACCAGATGGTTGGCTTTCCTTTCTCATTGGACAGCTACTCTATATCGATTTCACAAAGCACGAGTTTTCACAAGCTTTCGACATGCTAATTAGAGAAATCAAGGCTTCTGTTTATTCTGGTATGAGCTGCGAACATGTTGAGGAAGGTCACCCAGGTGACAAGATCGTTTCTACTTTAACTCTACCATTACCACCATCCAAATCACAATCACCAGCTGTTCCCGATAATGTACTGAACTGGTCGAAGACACAGGTAACTGAATGGTTGCTAGGACACAATCTAGTGAATATGGTTCATCTACTGCATGACTTTGATGGACGAAGTTTGATCTGCTTGAATGAGTTGTTGAAGAAGGGCAATCTTCAACAGACTTTGACTTTACTGCAAACGGATTCTCTTCGACGAACCCACCAGTCGTTGTCTTTGGTAGAGTTAGCTCGTTTTCGAGCTCTACTGGATGAACGACAGCAAAAAACACTCTCATCATCGTGTGAAAACGTACGACTAATGCAAGTATATGGTTCCCAAAAGAAACGCGATGCGATTACCAATTGCCGCATGATGTAGTGACTGATTGATGCGTATAATTGTCTTTTACATCTCTATTCTTTTATTTGATAAAAATCTGTTGAAAATACATTTATTTTATACATCATGATCATAAACAGAGACATTGAACATCTGCATGAAGGATAAAAGTTCATTTGATTCAACTTTCATCTTCGGGATAAGAGATAAAGAGAGAGAAACAGAGAGAGATACGAATCAATCCAATCTACTAAAGGAGATTTTGGTTTGATACAATGATGCCCTTTTGTTTCTTAAGGTTTTTGTTGAAAGCTTGATTTTTTCTAAATGAAAATGATATGATAAGATGCACTATTTGTCTTTATTTTTCATGAATATGAATTCTCCTGCAATACTCTGATGCATGTATGTGGTTATCTATATACAGGTTTGACGTATGAGTTAGTGAACAATAGAAACAAAGTTGATGTCTTCAAATAGTTAATCGAAATCCATGAGGTTCATGTATTTTAGGAGACATAAAACTACAATTATCAGAGCTCTCAGTGAATGAGTGCATGAGATATATCCCGTTTAACCTCACCAACTTTTACATCCGTCTACCGACAACCAGATCATGACACGGCTCAATTTTTCTCGGATGATGGAATTATCGAAGCTTCTGAGATACAGTTGTTTTTGTTTTCTACAAACTTCATAATGAGCAATAAAGTTCTAAATTCTATCCTGTTTGCCGAAATTCATTAAGAGAGTATCTTCGATGATGAATATGAGTTTTTATTTTATACAGCAGTCATCTTGTTCATTGAAGAAATAGAACTACTCGACGGATACGGAGAGAAAGAGAGCTGCGCAAATACAAGTACAAATTGTACTCGGAAAACAGCATGCCCCTCCGATAAGTACGTTCAGGTGCTTGAAGCGCATTATACTGGGAAACGTGGCAAACCTTGGCATTGAGCATTCTAAGTTTTTATTGATCTGGTCTACTTCAAAAGTTCCAAAGAAGCGACAATGGAAGAAATCTCTCAATAATTCAATATGGGCAAAATTGAACTCAAGACAACGATTCGCGTCATTAAACAACATGAAAGATCTCGAGATTTTCACTCAACTTTATAAATATATCTTTTGATAGGAATATCTAGAAAGAATACAGTGAGATAATTCAGAATCTGGGCATTACACAGTAGGAGAATAGCCATGGATTTCTTAGTTTCCCATAAGAAAAAACGAAGTAAAGTGCACATTTTGAATGACATCTGATATTTCTCACAAGAAAAACTACTTACTTGGGCAGAACTGACGCAAGCAAATAATTGAATTTACAAGAAAGTAAACTCAACATAGAATGACGAAGATCAATTACACATACAGCAGTATCAGCATTTCACTCAGTGATTCTCGATGCATAAGTATCTCATAGAACATGGTGATCAACCACAGTTAGATGCTACGCAAACAGATGCTTTCTCTTTTTTTTCCTGATAATCAATAGAAGAAATAAGGATTGAAAGAATATAAAGAAGGCTGTTCGATTGATTATTTACATAAGAAGTCAATTTCAATGTGCTGAATGAGTTTCGATCAGATTAGGAATGCGAATAAGAATTCAACTTGTCGTTGAAATGATTCATCATGGCAAGGCTAGAACTTTTACATTATTTAGTATATATGCGACTATCACGATTGCAATGAAACTTAGTATTATCATGCTTTGATATTATAACTATCGACCAAAGTTCTAGCACAATGAACAAGAAGATTACGATCAAAATTAAAGTTCTCGACCTTCAGCAAAATGTTGACCGTCCCCTATGAAAACACGAAAAAAAACACGTTTACAAGTAAATAAAAGACGAAGAGTTAGAGCTTCATTCTCTTTCGCATGAAACCGTAGATGCAGATGATACATGCAAGTGAGCGAAGACGACTCGTAGTTAGGGTTTTAGTATATTAAACGAGATATATTAGCAACTAGAAAATGTAGCAAATTGAAAGCTTTCCTACATTTACCAGCTCATCAAAAAATACTGAAAGCAACACTCCTTCTCAGTATTGGGTTGTTGCAGTGTCTAGAATTCAATTATATCAAGTATTGAGCAAAGGTGTGGGCAAAATCTTTAGGTGTCAAGGTAAAGTTAACATTGATGTTAACAAGTTCTTCTTCTTCGGGCAACTCAGGCGATGATAATTCATTTTTCTAAAGTCACCATGCATCTTTTCTTTCTCAAGATTTTAAACTTTTGTTCAAATCTACAGGTGTTCTACAGAGATACTTTGCCATGTATTAAAATTATTAATGACAGCTCGAACTAAATGATTGACTAAATCACTCAAGATATCAGCAATATCGAGAAAATTCTTAAGAGAGAATTCACGAGGCTATCGAGAATTCTAGCACAGAGATATAACATGATCTCATTTAAAATATTCATATCAATATGCTCTTTCAACACAATTTTCAAGAAAACGAAACTTTTTACACTGAAATACAAATTTTTTGTGAAAATGGGTTTTTTCAATTTTTCAACGCTTTTCTCAAAAATGAAATACATTTTTTCTTGCTTTGTTTTTCAGCCAATCTGCGTGTGTGCCTGCGGACGCAGAGTATCTGAATGCAGGTAAGGAGAAGACTTGCTGGCACAAGCACTACCATCCGCCTCTCAATTTTGTGAAACACAATCTAAAATGAGTTTTGAGGTGTATAGGGTAGAATTTTGGACCCATTATCCAAAGTGTAAATATTGGAATGAATACGCCTATGGTTAGTTTATTTTACCCTGAAACTAGATTCCCAAAAATCAATTCGAAACGTGGGAAAGCCCATTGTCAAAAATTTTTCAAAAATCCGTAAAGTATACGGAGACCAATCCTTCTATCAACTAATCAAAATATTTTTAAATGAAAAACTATCTGAAATCAATGATTGGCCCATAAGCTATATTGTACGAAAAAATTATTTTGTTTGAACCATAAATGGAATAGAAAATAAGTGATTACTGGGCCGAACATAGGTCGAAAAATCAGTCTTATCGTA